CCTATCATGTTCAATATGATCAGGGAGGCTGGCATTTTTGGGAAGCACCAAAATCTCCCAAAAATCCACAATTTTCGTGGCTGATTTTGGAGGATTTCTCCTCACACAATGATCCCCACAAGGTGCACTCTACATGAAAGTCACTCACAAGATTAAGGGGAACAACTTTGTGGTTGTGAGTTTCTCTCAAAAGTGTTTAGAAAAAGAGTTAAAAATCAAAAGCTCCAAACCCTCAACCATGGACAAGAGCTCGACGATGGAGAAGGAAATAGGAGAGAGAAAAGTCTGATTTTGTGTCTCACTTTGGCTTTCCACCCACTTAAGTCACTTAAGTGGGTCCCACACATCATTTAACTTTCTTAAATTATTCATTTTAACCCACAAATTTATAACCTACGTATTTTCTCATTCACGTCATATATTTTACTTCCAAGAAACACTGATCATATTTTTGCACTTATCGGTACAATTATACCACAATATTTTACACCGATAAAATCATTATTCATCAAATATGCAGAAACTTGACTATCCACTCAATTTTTAGTTCTAAATCCATTTCTAGTGTTATTTTTTCCATTTGAGACCTCCTACTCAAATTTTCTTTTCTAGGGTTATGTGTTTGGTAAATTATCATTTTACCCTTCTTATGCAATTTGACCCTAATTTCAGGATTTTCACTAATCCTACCCCTTTAAACCATATTTTCAAGCATAATAATATGTTTACAAAATACCAGGTGTTATATTCACCCCTCCTTTTTGAAATTTTGTTCGCAAAATTAAGTCATACCTGTCTGCCAACTCAGGATACAGCCGGAGAATCTCATCCTTCCGTTCTCAAGTAGCCTCCTCAAGTGTAAGACCTTCCCGCTGAATCTTTAACATAGGAATTACTTTGCTTCTTAACCTCTTTTCACAGCGGTCTAGTATTTCCATGGAACCGATGGGAGTCTTCAGGTTCTCCCGAATTTCAATATCATCCAGTATCACCACATGTGATTCATCCGGAACATAATGCCGCAACTGCGACACATGAAAAACATCGTGTAGATTTGACAACTGTGGGGGTAAGGCAAGCTAATAGGCCACCAATCCTACTTTTTTCATAATTTGATATGGCCCAATGAACTGAGGACTCAGCTTCTTCACTCTCAACGCACGGCCAACACCCATGATCGGAGATAACCGCACAAATACATGGTCACCTTCTTCAAATTCTAGCGGTCTGTGCTTCTTATCATAATAGCTTTTCTGCCGATTCAGTGTCTGTTTTAGTTTTTCTCTGATCATTTCAATTTACACTGTAGTTTCCTGCACAAAATTCAGATCAAATCTTGCTTTATCACCTACCTCAGTCTAGCAAGTAGGAGTATGACATCTCCGTCCATACAATTCCTTATATGGTGCCATGCCCAAACTGGAATGAAAACTGTTATTATAAGAGAATTCCACCAATGACAAGTACTTGTCCCAAGCAGTACCCTGCTCTAGTGTGCAAGCTCTCAGCATATCCTCAAGTGTCTGTATGGTCCTCTCAGTCTGACCATCAGTCTGCGGGTGATACGCAGTGCTCAGCCTGAGCTGAGTGCCAAAAGTCTGCTGCAAGGCTCCCCAAAAGCGTGAAGTAAACTTCGGGTCCCGATCGCTTACAATACTAACCGAAATCTCGTGGAGCCTTACAATCTCATTTACATAGAGTTTTGCTAATCTCTCGTAGAGAAATCCACTCGCACTGGCAGAAAATGTGCAAACTTTGTAAGTCTATCTACAATAACCCAAATTGAATCGTATCCAGTCTGAGTCTGAGGCAAGCCAACAACAAAATCCATAGAGATGTTCTCCCATTTCAACTCTTGTATATCCAGTGGCTGAAGTAAACCAACAAGTTTCTAATGCTCTATCTTTACTTTATGACAAATTAAACACCTTGATACGTACTCCGCAACATCCTTTTTCATCCCAGGCCACCAGAACTTTACTTTTAGATCTTGATACATTTTTGTGGCACCTGGATGGATAGCATACTAACCCTTATGGGCCTCAACCATAACCTCCTCTGCTAGCTCCTTGGGCACAATAATCCTGCCCCAATACAATAATAACCCTGTTCATTAACAGATATGCCACTCTGGCCTTTCAAGTATTTGATATTGTCATTCCGTATCTTAGTTTCTTTAATCGCCTTATGCAACTCATTCTCAATCTGTGTCAATTCAATATCACACATTCTACCTGCAAAGAAATCTGTTATTTTAGTATCCCGAAACTGCTCAATCACTTCATTATCCCACATCATCATATGAGACAAACTGACAGACTTCCTACTCAAAGCGTCTGCCACCACATTAACCTTATCTGGATGGTATTTCAGCTCAAAATCATAATCTTTTAAGAATTCACCCATCTTCGCTGTCTCATGTTCAGCTCTTTCTGATCAAACAAATATTTCCAGCTTTTGTGATCACTGAACACAGCAAACTTCATCCCATACAGAAAATGCCTCCAAATTTTCAAGGCAAATACAATAGCAGCAAGCTCCAAGTCGTGCATCGGATAGTTCTCTTAATGAGGCTTCAACTGTCTAGAAGCATAAGCAACCACTCTCCTTTCTTGCATCAACACACTCCCCAAATCTTTCTTGGAAGCATCACAGTATAATTCAAACTTACCTTCCGGAAAGGGAAGAGTCAACACAGGAGCTGTAGTCAATTTCTCTTCAAAAGTCAGAAAATAGTCTTCACATTCCTAGGTCCACACAAAAGGAGTATCCTTTCGTGTCAATCAAGTCAACGATAATACTATAGCAGAAAACCCCTCTATAAATCTGCGATAATAACCAGCAAGGCCCAGAAAGCGCCTGATCTCAGTCACAGTCTTAGGTCGTTCCTAGTCACTTAGCACTTCAATCTTGCTCGGATCCACAACAACACCGCTAGCAGAAATAACGTGACCCAGAAATTGCACCTTAGATAACCAAAATTCCCATTTAGACAGCTTAGCATATAGCTTTTTATCTGTCAAAACCTGCAACACAGTCCTCATATGACCTGTGTGCTCCTCTTCACTTTTAGAATAAAGCAAGATATCGTCAATGAACACACTTAAAAGCTGGTCCAAATACGGTTTAAAGATGGCAACAAAAGTGCTAAAGAAATCATGACGAAGAAGTAGCGGCTCAATAGAGAACAAGGGAAGCCAAAATCTTACAATTCAAGGGTTAGAAAATCATGCTCAAGCGCACAAGAGGACGCTCGAGCGTTTGAAAGTAGGAAAAACAGCCAAACTGGGCACAACACGACGCTTAAGCGCACAGATGCACGCTCAAGCGCCCAAGAATACAAAAATTCAGACTCGAGGAGCACGCTCGAGCGCCCAGTAGCACGCTCGAGCGCGCTCAGGCAGCAACAACAATTTTAAGCAATTTGGCGCGCTCAAGCGGCCAACAGCGCGCTTGAGTGCCCAACCACATTCCAGACAGTAAAAATTCACTAAGATTTGCTGAGATTTAATGAAGATTTGCCAGATTGTGATACCGGAACTAAAGCAGAAACATATCAACCTTGATTCAGGGGAAGATTAAAGAAGGATTATAACAAGATTCAAAGTCTCAAATCTATCACCAATCTACAAGATCTTAGACGCAAAAGGAAATAATTATGAAATCAACTACAAATCTGATACGGATTCGGTGAGAGATGCAATGAAGGATACAACTCCAATGGCTATAAATAAGGAGCTTGGAGTCAGACCAAAACACCAATTGACAAGTCCAGATAATTACATAGAGACCTGAAGGAGGAATCCTGTTGCGAAGCGCTGGAACATTGAGGAACCAAGTCAACATCACACCAATGGAGGCTTGGGGTTCTCTTTTCTTTATTATTTCTTTTGAATTCAGTATGCTAGAGTAGTTTTTTATGTAGTTAAGGGTATATGGAACCCAATTGAATCTTTATGTTTATGAATTAAAATGTCTCCGGAATCTTTTCTTTTTATTGAATAAATTATCTGTCTTTAATGCTTTCTATGAGTTTGTTCGTTATAGAATGATTTTGGGAAATTGTATGACAATAGGGATGTTGGTGCATGAACCCTGACTTGATAATTTATCATAATCCTTGTGATCTAGGAATAGGCATAGGGTAATTATGCAATCTTGAAATTCTTGATCTTAATGTATGTTTTCTTGGGGAATAATCAGGGAACTAGAGTTCTTTCAAGATTACATAGATTTATGGTAACAAGGAATTGAGTCGTAATTAACATAGAAAGAATTGATTGGCAATATATTAAGAAAAGGTTCTTGATAGTTTAATTCATAACATATTGAGAAGATTGGGGAAAGTCGAAACCTTAACTACGCTTGTTTTAAATTCTTCATCAAACAACATCTTCATTCATTCTTTTTAATTCTGAATTTTCTTAATTGCATGCTATTACTTGTTTTTAATTTTAAGTTCTTCAAATCACAATTCTCTCAAACCCAATTTTTGATTGTCCAACTAAGACGCAATTAGCGAACTAGTGCTTGAAGATTCTGATCCTCGTGGGAACGATCTCGTACTCCGGTACACTTTATTACTTTACGACCGGTGCACTTGCCGAGTCGCTATCAAGTTTTTGGCGCCGTTCCCGGGGATCGAATTCTTCAACATTAGAAGTAACTAATTACCTTTTAGATTGGACGTTTTAATTTTCCGCACTTTAACATTCTTCAAAAATATTTTCTGCATAAAAAAATTTTTGCATCAATTTTCTGCATATTTAATTTTTTGCATTCTTTTTTTTTTATTTTTTCTGTTTTAATTTTTCTGCACTTTCTATTTTTTCTGCACATCTTTTCAATCTTAGTTTATGCGAGGTACTCTTAACCCGCGAATTTTGCAGTTTGATCCTGAGATAAAAAAGACAGAAAGGAAACTTAGGAAGGACGCAAAAGCAAAGAAAGCGAAAGAAGTAAAAGAAACCTCAAGTTCAACAGAACCTAAGGAGGAATCGATGGCAGAAAACAATCAACTCGCTCCAAGGACCTTGGGAGATTATATGACTCCAGCCCGAGTTCCACAGACGGCGAGCATTGTTAGACTGACTATAGAGGCTAACAACTTCGAGCTGAAGCTCGCGCTGCTGCAACTGATTCAAAAAGATCAATTCGCCGGAGGAAGCACAGAGAACCCCTATAGTCATCTTCATGACTTCCTACTTTACTGTGATACATTAAAAGTAAATGGAGTTTCTCGTGACGCTATCTTGCTCAGATTATTTCCATGCTCACTGAAGGATGATGCAAGAGCTTGGCTGCAGTCTCAACCTGAAAGAAACATAACCAGTTGGGATGATTTAGCAAGAAAATTCTTGGCCAGATTTTTCTCAGCTTCAAATATGGCAAGACTCAAAGCGGAAATCACTTCTTTTGAACAAAAAGAAAGCGAATCTCTGTACGAGGCTTGGGAGCGATTTAAGGGATTACTCAGGAAGTGTCCAGAACATGGAATTGAAGCATGGGAGAAAGCAAGAATCTTTTTCCAAGGGATAACGCCCAACACAAGAACTCTGGTAAATGCTGCTGCAGGAGGTTCCTTGAAAACAAAAACTCCAGAGGAAGCGCTAGAATTGTTGGAATCCTTAGCTTCTCAAGAATTTGACAATGCCCCAGTTGCACAAAGGAGAGCAAAAATTATGAAGCTCGACGGCTATGATGCAATCTTAGCCCAAAATGAACAAATGCTACAAATGCACAAGAAACAACAAGAACAATTAGAAGCTCCTACTAAACAATTTAATCATTCTCAAGTTTCTTCTGTTAGTAATTCTCAAATTAAATGTGGTATTTGTGCAGAGGCTTATGCAACTGAAGATTGTGACTACATGAGAACAACTGAAAAGCTACCAGCGGAGGCCAATGGACTCTAGTATGATCAGAAGAATCAGAATCAACATCCAGGGTTCAGTCACAAATCCAACCATCAGCTCAATCCTCCTCTTCCAGTGCAACCACATACCCCACAACAAAGTAACACTTCTGAGTGGGAGAAAGCTTTTTCACAGCTGTGCAAGACCACTTCTGATTATATTCAAGGTGCAAATGCTTTCAGATAGGACACATCTGCTTTCATGCAAGAGACTAGAACAGCACACCAGAATTAAGAAGCCTCAATAAGAAATCTGGAAATTCAGATTGGCCAGTTGTCAAAGCAATTTTCTGAGAGAGCACCAGGTACTTTTCCAAGCAACACAGTTGTCAATCCAAGGGAGCATTGCAATGCTATCACCACTAGGAGTGGGACAGTTATTCAACCTATAGAGGAGCAGTCTGAAGAAAAGAAGAAGGATGGAAAAGCATCAGTTGAAGAAGAGAAGGAAGAAAAGGAAAAGGATACAATTGAAGTTGAAAAAAGCAATCCTGAAAAAGCCGAAAAGAAACTATTCAAGTGGGAGAAGAAGAAAGCTCTAGAAAGATTGAACAAGCCATTGGATCTCTCCCCATATGCTCGAATCCCTTATCCTCAGAGATTAAATAGAGATATTGAGAAGCATCAGTATTCAAAGTTTTTAGACATATTCAGGAAATTGCAGATCAACATTCCTTTTGTCGAAGCTTTAGAGAACATACCCAACTATGCAAGGTTCATGAAGGATCTATTATCAAGGAAGCGTAAGTTGCAGGAATGTGAGACGGTGATTCTGACGGAGGAATGTAATGTTATCATCCAAAAGAAGTTACCTACCAAAGTCAAGGATCCAGGGAGCTTCAGCATTCCATGCACTATAGGCAAGGTGGAAGTGGACAATGTTTTATGTGATCTTGGAGCTAGCATCAATGTCATGCCACTCTCCATAATGAAGAAGCTGGGGATTACTGAAGTGAAGCCCACAAAGACGATAGTGCAACTGGCTGACCGCTCTTCAAAGCAAGTTTATGGCATCATTGAGGACATATTGGTAAAGGTAGACAAATTCATCATTCCTGTTGATTTTGTCATCTTTGACATTGAAGAAGATGCCACAATTCCTATGATTTTTGGAAGACCCTTCTTGGCAACTTCCGGAGCACTGATTGATGTACTTAAAAGGTGGGGTGATTATAACACCTTGTAATTCTAAATTATATATTAAAATATTAAACATGAATTAAATGGAAGGATTAGTGAAAATTCTGAAAATTAGGTCAAATACAAAGTAAGGGTAAAACGGTAATTAACTAACACGCAACCCTAGGAAGATAAAAATTGAGTAGAAGGTCTCATATGATAAAAATAACTCTGGAAATGGATTCGGAACGAAAAATTGAGTGGTTAGGCAAGTTTTAAAAAATTCAGTGAATAGTGTTTTTACCGGGTAAAAATATTGTGGTACAGTTGCACCGTAAAGCGTGCTAATTGAGTTTTGAGCTCTAGGTTTTGAATACAGGGAATATGAATTCTGATGAAAATTGAGGGAAATAAGTAAGTTTGGGGAAGCGTGCCTATGGAGCGCGCAACAGCTTAAAACATTATTTTCTCCGAACGACCGGAAAACTTCGGATTCATCTAATCAAGTGTAATTAAAGGACAATGGTTAATGTTAAAAATTAGAGTTTCTAAATAGGTGTGAAATTATGGACGTTTAGTGGAATCGGAGGGAAAATTCAGATAAGTTTGAAATCGTGTCAGGTGGCGGTGGAGCCCACCTCAATTAAAATCACTTAGCCACCTAAGCCTCCCCACTATTCATCATCTCTACCTCCCCTCACTTTTGAGAAACTCGCGGCTCCCCCTCCCTCAAAACCCCATTCCACTTCAAAATTTCATCTTCTCCTAACTCCACCAATACTTAACCAAATCCATTGATTTTTGTCTTGAAATTTGTTGGAAATCATCTTCCAAACACATTGGTGGTATCCATTAGCCTTGAAACCGTCTCATTTGTGAGAAATAGGCAAAAATCAGTCACGAATTCCTTGAGATTTTTGGTGTTCATGGAGTTGTTTGGAGCTCCAATGGTTTAGGATGTCTTGGAAGAGCCTTGTGCCTAGCTTTTGAGTAAGTTCCTACACCTTGTTGATGGTTTAATTTTTGAATTTATTTCATGAACCCTAAAGGGAGTTTTGTTGATTTGTGTTGTTAGAGAGCTCAAATGGAAAATGTTTGTACATGAATATGTATTAGAATAATGTGTTAGAGCTATAAATGCAATAAATATTATTGGTGAAAAATATGATTTTTAACTTAGGAAAATTTTGATGGTGTCATGACTTTGTGTATGGGATTGCTGTTAGGATTGTGTAATTGGATTGTTGGAGGTGTATATGAGTTAATAATGAGATAATAAGATGTATTACATTGCTAAATTGAATTGAATGGTCATTGGTGTGGGCATTTGTTGATTTCGGCCAAGAAGGAAAAATAAGGGAAATGATGTTGTTGAAATTATTTGGATGATGTGTTGTGTATTGTATGGTACTTAGATGGGTTGTGTGGTGGTTGGAAGGTTGAAAAACCAATGGAAAAATAATTGATAGTGTTGAGAGGTGAAATGGAACCTAGAGTAAAATATTAGGCAAAACGATGTTTGAATGATGAAAAATGAAAAGTGGCACTTGATATGACCTTTTGGTGACCTAAGGATGCCTAAGAAAATGAGAAAGAAAATTTTGAAAAATAAATTGCAAATTAACACTATAGAGGCCGAACCTACATTGTGTAGGGGAGGATTTTTGACGTTTTCGTATTTTGATAGATTTGCCGTGTATTGATGATTCGTACATGGTTGCTGTAGGTTGCCGTACGTAGATTTGAACCTCGAACCGTGAGTTCGGTGGATTGCCCTTGCTCCCGGACCAAGTGGGATTGAGGTGAGTAATGGGAACCATGCTTGTAGAATTGTAACTTGCATGCGTTTGTATAAGTGGTAATTGATTAGGAATGTCCTCTGTGTAGGCATTTCTGTGGTGAAACGAGCTCGGAATATAAATTGCATTGGAGCTACGTGGAGAGGATTATACAGGCAACATCTTGGTACTGGAGCTTGATCCCCTTGTGTGTTCTACCATGCCCGTTGAGGGTGATGGTAGGAAATGTATGTAAGTAATGTAGAATAACATGATCATGCATTTAGTATGTATGTTGGTACATAGGATGTACCGAGTCTCTGGCCAGTAGACAGTTTGCCTTCGGGCGTTACGGACTTCCACTGGATAGGTCTCCTAGAGGGAGTTCCAGTTGACCAAGGGACGTGGTGTGTGATCCGGATATGAGCACACTAGGAAGTCTCGGGTGTATATGGATGGAAGGTGCCTTGGTTAGATGTTCTGGGAACACGCCTTGGTTGAGACCCGTAGGCTTATATGCCGAGCCATTAGGCTGGACGTTGCGTGGTATTGGCATAGACCATTCCAGCTTCGTCATATTTTGTATACCTATGTTTTTCGATTTCTCTAAATCCCTTGCTTTATCCCATTTTCAAGATATTATTGTATGTTATTTATATGCATCGAAGTGAACCATTGGGCGGAGTATTCTCCAGAACCTCTGGGTTACTGAGATATATTCGTATATCTCACTCCGTCTTGGGGGCATTATTTCAGGAGGTAGCAGTGGTGCAGGAGCGGTGGGCAAGAAGCCCGCAGAATGACTGAGACATAGGAGTATTAGTTGTTTTGCATTTTGGTGGCTATTGGGCCTAGGCTAGACTTAGGGCATGAACATCGCATATGTATTTAGGAGGAGATTTATTATCATATTTGTTCATGTCATTTTGCCTAAGTCTAGTTGCATTTGGATTATGTCATTTTGAAGTTTCTTTATTATGTATTATTTGAAGATTAAGGTTGGTAATTGTAATATTTCATTTGGAAGTTGTAATATGTACATGAATACTTGATGTAATATGGAAGCATGTAATATGATGAAAGGGCAATAGGCCTATTTTAGGATTATGATTATGTGTATGTTTAGAAAATGCATGCAAATGGACCTTGATGATTGAAATGTGTTAAGTATTAACAAAGTAAGCGATGTGATATGATTTAAGCTATTTAATATAAACTGTGAAGGGTTGTAAGAGCCCCAAGGCATTGTTGGTCCTTGTGTGTGCCACCTTATGATTATTAGGTACAATTTGAGGTCTTAGAACATTGTACAAATTTGGAGATTATTGGAAAAACAAAGGAAACTCTGGCGAATTTTCTAGAAATTGGCAGAATTTAGGCGAACTTTGGGAGAGCATATCTCTCTCCACAAAGGTTTGATAGGGACGTGCCATACACCGTTTTGAATTTTGAGATATCCTTTATCTTGTGGTAAAATTTGGTAAATATCTGGGTTGGGTGTCGGCCTGCAGAAGGCAGTGAACACAGATTGCCCATTTGCTTACTGCACATGTGGCAGTTCTGGACCGGTTTTGGGAAATTTATTCCTGCTTCATTTCTTGGTAAAATTAGGTGTATGATATATCAAATTGAAGTTTGAGGTGTCTAGTTTGTTGTATAACAATTTCAGAGCAATTTGATGAGTGGATTTTCTGCTGTAATTGTTTTAGTGAGGGATGTTTGGAGCTGTTTTGGGGTTGGCTGGCAGCTTTTCTTGTCCAACTTCAATCAGCGATATCCGGAGCAAACGAGCTCTAAATAACTCATGTGATAGCTTCCTAGAAATTTAATTGAGTCTAGAATAACATACGAAAAGATCAGAAGTGCGCGTCATGCGGTTTGTCCGCAGAAAATTAAAGAACAAACCATGTTCGGATATGTAGAAAACTTAAAAGTGAGATTTTGGCTAAGTGGGTTTATGGGAATCCCTTAGTGACTTAAGAGATGTAAAATAAGATATAAAAGTAATTTAAATAATTATTCCGCAAAGATTTTACAGTTACGGTCACAACTTTTATTTATTATGCCTTTTATTGTTTTAAACGTTCGCGTAATAAACGGAAAACGTTTACTCGCATTTTTATAAATGAACTGTTGTGATTGTAACTGCGCTTAATATCATAATTAATGTTAACAATACCGGTGTACAACAGGCTGTTACAATACTCTACTCACATTTTATTACTTGAAACGATCGGTATACTTGCCGTAATCGCAACACATTGCAGTTGTAATTATTGCATCTTGCGCATAGATGTATGGTTGTTCGCCGTCGCCGTTAAGGGTGTTACCACGCGTAACACCACGTTCGCGATCGATAATGTTATCATTTATTATGATATTAAGCTCAATTATAATCACAATAGTTCATTTAAAAATATGGTAAAATTTTTCTTTTTAATACTGTTTACAAAATCCTTACATTTGTAAAATATCCGTATTAAACATTTTCCAAAAATGTGATTGTAACTCCAAACTATTGCGGAACAATAAATATTATTGTTTAACATCATACAACGTCTATTTAGAGTTGCTAAGTGATTCCCATAAACCAACGACGCACAAATACACAATTTGACGTTTTACCAACTTAAGGTACATTCATTTTTCTCAAAACTGCAACTGGACAACTTGTCAATAAATTTTCATCTTTTGATATGTTATTCTACACCGTTTTACCTTTCCAACAAGTTATCTCACGCCCCATTTGAAGTTCTACAACTCCGGATATGCTCGCCGTAAGATAAATTCTTAAAATTGTCAAAACTACACTTTCAAGTACAAAAACATCCTCTACTGCTTTTTGAACTGCAGACGTTTCACACATCTGTTTTCCCCAAAATTTTAATATGTTCTAGGAGACACCTCAAACTTCAGGTTGATATATCATAAGACTAATTTGGATAAGAAATGAGAGAGATATGTATTTTTCAAAAAAAACATCAATGTTGCAAAATACTGCACGAATCTGAACAGCTCTCATCCAAACACACACTGGGAAATTTCTACAACTCCAAATGCTACCAAATTTTATGACAACATAGGGGACATCTTAAGCTTCAAACTAAAGTATAGTACGCCTTATTTAGACCACTTTGAAGAGAGCTATGGTCTCTCAAAGTTAGGATAAAATCTCACTATTTTTCTAAAAATTTCAACAGAGTCTCCTTTGTTTTTACAATTTTTTCCACTTTGAATAAGTGTGTTCCAATACTCAAAAATGGTACCTTGGTGCACTTACAACCCACAATATCCATCAATTCACATTATGCTTCTTTTATCATTTTATTTTTCTTACACAATGTCTCATTATCATTCATTATAATTAACATCATCAATAACTAAAACAAGCCTAAAGCACTTCCATCACATACATCAATATTTACATGAACAAGGTTTTCTAGTAATGCAATTACATTACATCAATTATCAAATTTAACTATTACATAATCAACATAATATCAAATGACTTAGACACAAAAGCATGAACAACTCTAAGCATGTCCACAACATCTCATACAAGACCAATGTTCATGCTCTAAGTTAATGATACAAAATAAGCAACTACCCA